CCCTCAAGTTGGAGAGTGAATGTTGTGAAGTCCCAACTTGCTGCTCAACGAACTAAAAAGTTCCCTTCCCAAAGCTTTGGTAAATATATCTGCTAATTGTAGGAGAGAAGGGACGTAAAAGGTGGATATCATACCAGACAACAATTTTTCTCGCACTATGTGGCAATCTATTTCAATATGCTTCGTGCGTTCGTGGAAAACGGGATTTGCAGCTATATGGAGAGCAGCTTGATTGTCACAATGTAACGGAATTGGCTTATCTTGTTTTACCCCCAAATCTTGCAATATATAACGCAACCAAGTTAATTCCAAACAAGTGGCTGCCATGGCTCGATATTCGGCTTCTGCAGACGAACGAGCAACATTTGATTGCTTCTTTGATTTCCAAGAAATAAGAGAGTCTCCAAGGAAGACACAGTAGCCTGAAATTGATTTTCTTGTGGTAGGACAACTTGCCCAATCTGAGTCACAAAAAGCCTTCAATGTAAGATTATTATTAGTTGGGAAAAATAATCCCTGACCTGGAGTGCCTTTAATGAACTTCAGAACACGAAGAGCTGCTTCTAAGTGAGGTTTTCTTGGCTGGTGCATGAATTGACTCAAGGTCTGTACTGAGTATAGAATATCTGGTCTAGTCACAGTAAGGTAGATTAATCTGCCCACTAATCTCCTATACCTTGTGGGATCATCTAATAAATCACCATTTGTGGGAGTGAGTTTCAAGTGTTGCTCCATTGGGAATTTATCAGGGCGTGCCCCTAAAAGACCTGCATCCTGTATAACATCGAGTGCATATTTCTGTTGTGAAATAAAAATGCCCTTTTGTGATCTTGACACTTCTATGCCCAGAAAATATTTTAAGTCACCAAGATCTTTGATACGGAAATGCTTGAGTAGAAATGCTTTCAGAAGTTGCATCTCTTGTGGATCATTGCCTGTAAGAATTATGTCATCCACATAAATCAGAACCACAGTGAAGGAATTACCATGAACCTTTGTAAAAAGAGAATAGTCTGCTTGTGATTGGTGAAACCCAGCCTTTTGTATTGCACTTGAAAATTTAGAAAACCATTGTCGAGAGGCTTGTTTCAAACCGTACAAAGATTTATTGAGCCGACACACTAAGTTCTCCCCCTGTCGGCAAAGTCCAGGAGGAGGAATCATGTACACCTCTTCCTCCAAATCGCCATGAAGAAAGGCGTTTTGAACATCAAGTTGATGAATAAACCAATTGCGAGAGGCTGCTACGGATAAGAGACAGCGGACA